TTGTGTTCGTATTAATGTCTACTTTCATGCTGTGTTTTTACTTTTGATGTTTGCTCATTTTATCACTTAGTTTGTTTATGTGCAAGTGTGTGCGTTTTCGCGATCATTTATGTGATTCCGAATAAATGTTTATGTGGTTCCTTTCAATGTTTTTCTTGAAACTTGCTTGAATCCATGTCCATACATGTTAGTTAACATGCTAGGATTTATTTCTTGGTTGTTACCATCAAGAATCTCATGTTATCATCGTTATCTTAGTGTGCGATTCATCGTTACGATTCTTGTTTTGCTATCTTCATCTCGATTGTTATCCATACTTCTTTCATCTTTAAAATTTCTCCCATCTTGGTTGTTACCATGTTTTCTCCATCTTTACTTTGTTAAGTAGATTTTCCTCCTAAATTATGAGGTTAAACTAATTTGCTTGTATTTGATTGTTATCAATGCATATGGTTATTACCTTCATCATGTTTTCAATCTTTGTTAAGATTATGCTTTCAGTCTTTGTTAAGATGTGCCTTTAATCTTTGTCAAGATATGCTTAGGTATTTACCTTTTCTTTAAGTCTTGTAAGAACTCATCTTTGATTTCTTATTATAATATGTTTGCACGCTTTGGTTGTGACCATCTATCTTGATTGAAATCATTGACATTGTGATACCGTGTTTTGGTTGTAACCATTCATCCTATTTACTTGCTTACTATAATATGCTTGTTTATTCTTGGTAGTAACCATGCCTCTTATATTCATCATGTTTGAATGTTTATGCTTTGTTAAGTTTATCTTTCCCCAAGTGATGGAACTCTCTAGTTCTCATCAAGTTGCCTCCCCTCTTTCCTTCCAAAGGAAAAGTCTCTCCATTGACCCTTGTGTCATGGATAGCTCATCACACCCTTGACTTTGTTAAGTCATCCTCAACCTTAGATTAGAAGCCTTAGATTTTGCTTAAGTCTAAAAGACCCACCCGTACTAAGAGCGTTCTTCAACTAGAACCCTAGGAAAGAGTTCGTCAACTCTGCGTAAGAATCATCGTCATGATCTCTTACTTTCCCCCTTTTACAATTTAGCTTAGGGAGTTTTGTCAAACTCCACACAAACATTGTCATGTTTATTCCCCTTTGAACCTTGATCGTCATCAAGAGTTACTCTTATAAGTATAATTGGTTCATCCATTCTTCATAGAAAAGATCTTTGTGAATGCTAGTATGTTCAAGAAACTGGTGACTATTATTTTAATAGGAGTGTGATATCATCAAGATTGTGTCACAGCTTCTTCTGATTCTTGGTTTTCTTTTAATTGTTAGTTGTATGTGCAATATCTTAATATATTGTTCTGTTAAATCAGGAATCTTTTAGATTTGTTATTTGGTTAATTGTAACAGTTTTCTGTTTGTAATTAACTATATAACTGCTCTGCTGAATATACCAGAGTAGTCATTTCGGAATAGTGGTGCGGAGCGGCCGACCGCAAAAGTGGGATAGCACATAGCGGGATGACCGCTCTATTTGATCATTTTTTCAACAGATAAATTATTCATAAATCAACGCACACATGACTCTTGAAGTGCACAGATGACTATGAAGGAAGGTTAAGATTAAGCTCAACTCAAATTTGATTGAAAAACTAAAAATTACCCTTAAAACATTGTAAACTTAAGCGGTAATTTCGGTTTTTTAGAAGGGAAAGGGATAGTGGACCAGAAAACCGCTCTGCTCCGCTATACCGCTATTTACCGTATAACGGCTGCTATGGTGTTCTGCACTGCTAAGGCTCTTCCATAGCGGACGGCCTCCGCTCTGCTATTGGCCGCTATTGACTACTCTGGTATATACTTGTCTTCATAGCATAGATACACAGCAGCTGCTCTGAAAATATTCTCCCAAGTTTTCTCTTGCTTTCTTACATTTCCCATCCTCATAACATGGTATCATGGTCATTGATCTATAAAGACGTGTGAACATTCTCCACTACCACAACCTTAATCTCTACCATGGCAAGTTTTCTATTGAAGGATTTGCGATCAGCGGTACCTTAATCTCAACCATGGCCAAGTTCTATTGTAAGCATTGCGTCCACCGACAACCTAATCTTCATTGTTTCCAAATGCCATCTTCTAATCTGTATCCTTTACTCACAATTTCAGATAAACTTTATCATCACAACTTTGCAGATTTATTCCATGTACAGTCGGTGGTTGGTGCTTCCAATATCCAACCATTAAAACACAGGAAATAAGCTGTATTGTGAATAAAGTTTGTAACTACAAGTCAACCCCACTGAAATTTCATTGGGCAATGTTTAACAAACTATTTAAACATTTTGCGATGCAGACTTAACTTTGAATCTCGATGCTGCAATGTACTTCACAAGTAATTTCATTAATCATTTCTGAAACCGTATTTATAACAGATACAGTTATAACTGATTCAAAACTGTCACATCTCTCGGAGTTTGGTAGGTCCAATCACAATAACAGAAATGAAAACTATGCACCATCTCTAACATTCTTTCAAGTTTTCTATCCTAAGAATTAAATTTAGTTTTTTTTTACACCAACACATTTTCTATAACGCCAATGTAGCCAACTAAATCTCTAGAAAGAATTGCAGTTTCTAAGCTGAACCCTAGCACCATATTCTATGCATAAATTGTCACAATATGAAATCTCATGGATAGATTTTTTTTTAGAAATTAAATCATCTCCAACATCAACAAATAACAAAAAAAACTAAGAAGCAACAGAAACCTCGTACAACAAATTGAAAAAAAAAAACATATTGAACATCAGCAAACTAACTAGGTGAAAAAAACCCTAAATTGTGTTATTTCAAAGAAGCATACAAGAAAGGGGAACAAGACTAACCGGGATTTCAACAGTCGTTACAGAAATAACGGCAATAACGGAAATGGTTGGAACGAGATAGCGAAGAAGTGTCATGTTGCGTTTTTCCTTTGTTACAGTGTCGATGGGTTTAAGAAAAGATAGAAAAGGGGTTTTAGATAGAGATTAAGATAGGGACAAGTTAAGAGGAACAGAGAGTGTTAGTTTTGTTTTGTTGATACTCGACCGAACAAAAACAAAGTGAAAGATGAGATAGAAAATAGATTTGTTTGTTGGTTTTTGTTGTTGAGGTGAAGCGATGCGATGTGCTAGAAGGGTGTGATGTGTGTGGCTCTATTTATGGAGAGTTCATCGCTTCATTGGTTTGGTTTGGTTGAGATGTTCGGGTTATGGACTTTTTTTTTGTGATTTGAGTTTTGACCCACTTGAAAAGAGTCTCAATAAACATGGCTTTGATCGGAGATTTTAATCTTACCAACCTCACATTTAGTATCCCCACTTCGTGCCTTTTGAAATTTGTTTGAACCAAAATCATCCGTGGAGACAATTTGTAATAGTTGTCATTTGCAGTATTTTTTTAATGGCAAATTGTTAGCTGTTAATTGTATATTTACACCCTTACCGAGACTTGAATCCCATAATTGCTTGTAAATATTTACACGACTTGAACCCTCAACCTCCAACTCGTGGTTCAAGCCAGTTGAGCTATCCCTAAGGTGTTGCAGTGTCTATACTTGTGATTATTTTTAATTTGTTAATTTTTTTTAATTATGACTGGTTATTATCATGGGTGTTTCTTGCATACGTGTTTCATAAGTCTTTAGGCATTGTGCAAGCAGTTTTGAAGAGCAGCTGTAGCGATGCAAACAACAATCAAATAGCTGCTGAAACAGCGACTAAGGTGTAGCACTTATGAAAACCCAGTTTACCCGCAATTCATAGTTGTGCTAAATTTTCCCTTAATTCCTGACTGCAACAATTAGGATTGTGCGCCTATCATCTCACTTGTTTCCCCTGCAAAACTGCTAAACCTAGTTGTCTCGTCTGTCTCATCCTCTCCTGTCTATGTTATTTTTTGCAATCCATTTATGCAATTTCTGTATGCCCTCAGTCAGTGCAGGTTCTATCTGGTATGCTTAGCTTCTCCCTTGGTGCAGACTGTTTAGACTATGCCCTCAGTCACAGTCAGTGCAGGTTCTATCTGGTATGCTTAGCTTCTCCCTTGGTGCAGACTGTTTAGACTATGCCCTCAGTCACAGTCAGTGCAGGTTCTATCTGGTATGCTTAGCTTCTCCCTTGGTGCAGACTGTTTAGACTATGCCCTCAGTCAGTGCAAGTTCTATCTGATATACGTAGATTCTCCCTTGGTGCAGGTTGTTTCGACTGAGTAGTTTTTGACGAGCTGTTGTGCTACTTGATGTATTTCAAATTTTTAGCCTTTATATATGCATAGTATTAACTTGTGTTATTTCACTGAACTTTAGCAGAGTCAGACCGCTACCCATCAGTGTTATGGGGGTGAACCTCAATGCAGGTAGACCGCAATGCTACACTTTGATGTGTGTTGTGTGTTATGTGTTGTATACATCAAACAGTATCACATTCTCACTAGATAGATTTTGTCACAAAATTAAGTATTAGTATCTATTTACTGCGTAAATTAATGCCAATTCATAACAGCATTATGACAATCGAGTGGCTTGAATACTTCTGTGGCAGGTTTTGAAGGTGGAAAGGATTTAAGACAGTATTATTAATGGAGGGGGATTTGAAGAGAACCAAATTGGGAGAAAAATGCACCAAAGGAATTTTCTTTTCAGTTTTAGTATTTTACAGTTGCATTCTAGCAATACAATTTATGTGTCAAACAAATGAGTCTCTTGTATCCTTAATTGTTATTAGACAATAGTTTAGAGGCTAAAATTTGGCATAAAATATAAATGACAGTGAATCTATTAGATTCTATATAAGACGCCATTCGAACAAAAGATCATCTTCAAGGGCAAGAGGACTTATATGAGATGCCCATTGAACAAAAGATCATCGTCAAGGGTGAGAGGACTTATATGAGAAGGCATTCGAACAAAAGATCATCTTTAAGGGTGAGGACTTATATGAGAAGGCATTCGAACAAAAGATCATCTTCAAGAATCTCTCTATAAGTATGGTTGCTCTTCATCTGTAATATAGCAAAAAACAGTTACACAAATGCAACCATAATAATCATGTGAATCATACATCATAAACCTACCGTGACTATTTTTCACCAACATAATACACACAGCAGTTTGTTTGGTTAGCAATAAATAATAAACTATGCGAAATCAATTTTTTTTTTCTTATACACAACAATACAATCATTAACTAATGAGTCAATCACTATCTATAATGAGTCAAGTTAGAGAATTACTATAATCTATTTAGGTGAACAGCATAGTAAAATGGTACATTTATTCAATTACAAATACTAAAGTTTTGTTAAATTATCCTAACAGAGAAGTTGAGTTTCAATATACAATACATATGCAATAAGATTATGTAGACATCTAATTATTACCACTTTCACCATCTGATGCATCTGCAATCCTTGAAATGGCCTCGACAAGAGCCTGCTCATGCTCCTATACAACAATACAGACAATAATCAGAATATGAACAATAACCATGACGCGTGAAAGTTGAGAATAGTGAATTTCATGATGGTTAGGTTAGTGACTGTACTTTCAGCATTTGCTTTGCTTTCTCAAGTTCTGTGGAATCTGGAAGACTTGTTGCGAAAACCCTTTCCACCTGTTATAACATACAAGTGGTATTAACAACTCGAGAATTTTCATAATCTTTCTCCAGTTCTTAATGAGGTTTCTTAGGCATGTCATATCTACCTCCTTAACCAGTGCGTCTGTGTTCAGCAACTCAATCTCATCAGAAACTCTATTTCCAATACCATTTTGTGGGGCGATGAGTTCTTTTCTGGGTTGATATCTTGGATGTCCTCTTCCTCTTCCAGCACCTAAAGTATCATTACCACCATGGCTGAAGAATTTCTTTGCTCCACGACCTTGACTGCTATGTCCACTTCTGTGGAGTATGCCCGGATCTTCACCTTCCCATCTTATATCCTCAGGTGATATCTGCAATTAATAACCTATAGAATCAGTAATAAGATTTATGGTGAGTCACTGGGTATAAAAAATAGGAGCAACCTATATTTGAAGTCTTGAAAATTCTAATCAGAAGTGAAATTACTCACTTTTGAACAAAGCCACAACTAGATTATGATCAGTAGAAAACTACACAAGTTAAAGTTCCAGAGACTGAATATCCTAATAAAGTTTATCATAAATTAAGGTTCGACTGTTTCAAATCTCAGCTGAAAAACATGTCAAGAGTTTCTAAATATCCTAATATAGGAGTTTTAATAGTAATTAAAGAAGCAAAATCTTAACTTGTGACTAAGAAATATCACAGTAATGAGTAATATCATAACAAAATCTTAACCTGTATTGAGAATAAGAAATATTTCTGTAGTGAATAATTTCATAACATTTGAAAGCCTTCATTTAATAAATATCTTAACTTGTAATAACATCCAAGCATTATCCCACAAAGTGGGATTGGTTACATGGATCAAATTCCTTCATGATGTTCTATCCAAGACCATGTTTTTATCCAATTCATTAATCTTGAGATCTTTCTTAATAATTTTTCTTAAGAGATTTTCTGGGTCTTCCTGTACTTCTAGCTGTTGACTTATCTTCATCTGATCTACTTTTCTTATAACAGAATCCACAAATCCTCTTTCTACATGACCAAACCACCTAAGCTTATTTTCCACCATATTTTCTACTATAGGTGTTATCTTTACACTCTAGTATTGTCATTTTTAATCTTATTTTGTGTAGTCTTATCACACATCCAACGGAACATCTTCATCTTTGTTACACTTACTTTGTTCTCGTATTAATTCTTAACCACCAAAATTAAATCATGTACAACATCACAAGTCTTACAAATGAAAGATATGTAACTTCCTATGGATCATTTAGTTTCTCTCAAACTCTATTACCCTAAAACTTAAATGAATTAAAGAACTCCATTTATTTGCAATACTCAAATATCAATAATTTGACATTGACTCGTGATATTTCTTTCAGGCAGATATCCTTTATTCTCAGTGGGATTACTGACAACTACGATATGAATTTACAAGCAGCAGAAAAATGTATCACAGATAAGGGGGAAAATAAATTCATATGGTTGAAGGGAATTTAAACAATTGACTATTAGTTGTTACCATCTTTAAAAGTATTTTATCCTTCAAACTCATCATGACACAGTTTCATGTTATTTGCTTGTGCTTAAAACAATGAAATGTTTAAAAAAGTAAACTCACTTTAATTACTGCTCTACCCCATTCCCAAGCCTCATTTGCTTAATATCTTAATTTCTTGCTTTTATTCGTTCAATGTTATTTGCTTTGTTCCCTATGCTACCAAACATGGGGAATAAATAAATACCTCTTTGAGATCAACCCATTCCCAAGTTTCATTTGCTTTATTAATATCATAAACCAAAGCATGCCGACCCTGCAATGAAAAAAAAATGAGTGAAAGTTCCCTAAAAAGTTCTCAATTTTTTTTACATGATTAACATGAACTCACACTTCGGGATTCTGACATTTCTTAAAACCTAAACATACCTCGGTAGGGTTGTAATCGGTTATAACGGCTTCATAAAAGTGGTTGTCTTCAGGCCATCTAGTCCAAACTTTCTTCCCAATCAACGGATCAAATGATGCTCCTTCACCAGGCGCGTTAGATATCAGATTACTAGAAGAATTGCGATTTGCAAAATGCCTAGCCCCAGCAGGTCCAGTGGAAGCGTACGGTCCAGACTTTACGGTAGACAAACCAGGCAATGACTGACCCTGGTACAAATTTTGGTCGAAAATTAAAAACCAATTAGATATCAATATATTACTTTTCTTTGTAATTTAAGTGCAGCGGAATCAGACAACTTTTGGCCACTGGCTACTAAAACCGTCTCCAACAATTGCAGCATGAGTACAAAGATACTAACAGTGTCGTTAAGGTGTGCATCACATGAAAACCAAGAGAGAGTGGTACCGAATGAGACGTCTTCTGTTTTTTGCGGGAGGCTGAAACAGTTGGACTGGGTAAAATATCATGAACAGGCTGTGATGTGCTGCGTCTTGGAGGTTGGTAAATGCCAGTTTGTCTCCAGTCCCTGATTGCGTTTTGCAACATATAACAATGGGAAGAGAAAAGAATCTGAGAAACTACTGATATTTTTTAGCTGCGCCAATACAATTTACAAACACAGTACCTTATGCGGTGGATTATTTCATCGGAATTAACCCTGGTAAGAAGCTCTCGGTGTTCATCATCTGAAACCCTTAACTCTTTTCTTAGCTCAGTTATCAAACCCTCTTTCTCCTGATAAAATAGCATTCTTACTAATCAACGTTTCTCGAAATAAAATAGTAGATAATATAAAAGATATGGAGAGAACTAAATATACAGACCCAAGTAAGAGCATCTGACTGAGCTTTAAAAGCACGCAAGACGGCAGAGTACGCGTCTTGCTCAAGTTGATGAATTTGAGCCTCCATGTAATCTTTCACGTTAAATTGATAGCGTGAAGGTGGAACAGAATCTACAGCAGGTTTTTCATAGCATGCATCACTGCTACTGCTACCTTTGAAAACTGTATTTTGATTTAAGGGAGAAAGATCATCATCAATACTAGAAATTGTTATATGAAAAAAGAACTCGTAAATGAGAAACAAGGGCATCATTGAAAACTACCAAATTTAACTCTTATAAGTATAACTGGTTCATCCATTCTTCATAGAAAAGATCTTTGTGAATGCTAGTATGTTCAAGAAACTGGTGACTATTCTTTTAATAGGAGTGTGCTATCATCAAGATTGTGTCACAGCTTCTTCTGATTCTTGGTTTTCTTTTAATTGTTAGTTGTATATATCTTAATATATTGTTCTGTTAAATCAGGAATCTTTTAGATTTGTTATTTGGTTAATTGTAACAGTTTTCTGTTTGTAATTAACTATATAACTGCTCTGCTGAATATACCAGAGTAGTCATTCCGGAATAGTGGTGCGGAGCGGCCGACCGCAAAAGTGGGATAGCACATAGCGGGATGACCGCTCTATTTGATCATTTTTTCAACAGATAAATTATTCATAAATCAACGCACACATGACTCTTGAAGTGCACAGATGACTATGAAGGAAGGTTAAGATTAAGCTCAACTCAAATTTGATAGAAAAACCAAAAATTACCCTTAAAACATTGTAAACTTAAGCGGTAATTTCGGTTTTTTAGAGGGGAAAGGGATAGTGGACCAGAAAACCGCTCTGCTCCGCTATACCGCTATTTACCGTATAACGGCCGCTATGGTGTTCTGCACTGCTAAGGCTCTTCCATAGCGGACGGCCTCCGCTCTGCTATTGGCCGCTATTGACTACTCTGGTATATACTTGTCTTCATAGCATAGATACACAGCAGCTGCTCTGAAAATATTCTCCCAAGTTTTCTCTTGCTTTCTTACATTTCCCATCCTCATAACATGGTATCATGGTCATTGATCTATAAAGACGTGTGAACATTCTCCACTACCACAACCTTAATCTCTACCATGGCAAGTTTTCTATTGAAGGATTTGCGATCAGCGGTACCTTAATCTCAACCATGGCCAAGTTCTATTGTAAGCATTGCGTCCACCGACAACCTAATCTTCATTGTTTCCAAATGCCATCTTCTAATCTGTATCCTTTACTCACAATTTCAGATAAACTTTATCATCACAACTTTGCAGATTTATTCCATGTACAGTCGGTGGTTGGTGCTTCCAATATCCAACCATTAAAACACAGGAAATAAGCTGTATTGTGAATAAAGTTTGTAACTACAAGTCAACCCCACTGAAATTTCATTGGGCAATGTTTAACAAACTATTTAAACATTTTGCGATGCAGACTTAACTTTGAATCTCGATGCTGCAATGTACTTCACAAGTAATTTCATTAATCATTTCTGAAACCGTATTTATAACAGATACAGTTATAACTGATTCAAAACTGTCACATCTCTCGGAGTTTGGTAGGTCCAATCACAATAACAGAAATGAAAACTATGCACCATCTCTAACATTCTTTCAAGTTTTCTATCCTAAGAATTAAATTTAGTTTTTTTTTACACCAACACATTTTCTATAACGCCAATGTAGCCAACTAAATCTCTAGAAAGAATTGCAGTTTCTAAGCTGAACCCTAGCACCATATTCTATGCATAAATTGTCACAATATGAAATCTCATGGATAGATTTTTTTTTAGAAATTAAATCATCTCCAACATCAACAAATAACAAAAAAAACTAAGAAGCAACAGAAACCTCGTACAACAAATTGAAAAAAAAACATATTGAACATCAGTAAAAAAAAACCCTAAATTGTGTTATTTCAAAGAAGCATACAAGAAAGGGGAACAAGACTAACCGGGATTTCAACAGTCGTTACAGAAATAACGGCAATAACGGAAATGGTTGGAACGAGATAGCGAAGAAGTGTCGTGTTGCGTTTTTCCTTTGTTACAGTGTCGATGGGTTTAAGAAAAGACAGAAGAGGGGTTTTAGATAGAGATTAAGATAGGGACAAGTTAAGAGGAACAGAGAGTGTTAGTTTTGTTTTGTTGATACTCGACCGAACAAAAACAAAGTGAAAGATGAGATAGAAAATAGATTTGTTTGTTGGTTTTTGTTTTTGTTGTTGAGGTGAAGCGATGCGATGTGCTAGAAGGGTGTGATGTGTGTGGCTCTATTTATGGAGAGTTCATCGCTTCATTGGTTTGGTTTGGTTGAGATGTTCGGGTTATGGACTTTTTTTTTGTGATTTGAGTTTTGACCCACTTGAAAAGAGTCTCAATAAACATGGCTTTGATCGGAGATTTTAATCTTACCAACCTCACATTTAACAACAAGAAAATAAAATAAGCAAACTGATCAGTTCGCGCCGCGAATTGAGAAAAGTGAACATTCTGTTTTTTGCATGTTCGCGCCGCGAACTGGGAAAATTTTCATTCTGATTTTGGAATGTTCGCGCCGCGAACGTGGGTCGCGCCGCGACCTGAAGCGAAAAATGTAATATTTGCTGTCTTTTATAGTTTTCTTTCCTTTCTATTAGTTCTCAAAAATGGTTTTTGGTCCCCTTAGAATCTTACATGGTATACTTAGTACAACAACATATAAAATAAAAGACAAATGCAAGATATAAAGAGGGAAAAGTTTAAAGAAATGGATACCCCAAGAGCTTTTATCCTTCTCGCGAATACTCCACTGGTTTTGGTTGGCTGTGCTCCCCCCTCTTCACTCTATATGGTGAAAGTTTTGATCTTCAAAGGTTCCTTGTCTTTCTATGAAACTCTTTTTTTTTTTTTTTTCACTCTTACTATTTTTCTGGTTTTCTTTGCAATGTGTGTTGCTCTCACTATTTTCTGTTTTTCTCTTCTCTCTTACTCTCTCAATGTTGTGTATGTGAATGATAGTGAATGATGATTTGTTTGCAGCTCCTTCCTTTTGTTGACAGCCCCTTTCCCCTCTCATCTCACTTTTTCTGCTGCTTTTTCTGTTGTACCAAACCAATGGCTCTTGCACAAGCTTCAATTTTCAGAATTTCCATTCTTGGCAACAATTATGGTCAATTTCTTGGTGCAGCCCCACTTTTTCCACTTCTAGTATGCTGCTTTTGCTGTATTTTTTCTGCAGCACTCCACCTTGCTATCCATCCTTGTGTCCATTGGTTGGTTATGCTTGGATCTACTCATGTAGTCTATACCACTATCTTTTGACAGCATTTTCAAATTCTGATTTTTGATGTGTAGATGTATCAACATAAGCTCATAGCCTTGGTTTTGTGACATAAAATGATTTTGTAATATGATACACATTGTCACTTCTTGCATGGGGCTGTTTTGGATTGCATTCATATTGCTCATGGTTGAACATGCATGGTATTGATCTTGAGATATTTCAACATTGAATTAGCTCTTAAATATTTTCCTTGCATGTTTGTAAGCATAAAGAGGGTCATGTGGACTTGATGGAGCATGGGGGGATACCATGACATGAAGTTATTTTTAGAAACTTGAATTAAGACTAGAAATAACTTAATTTCCTAAGTATTACCAAGAGTTTGGATTTTGTAACAAGTGTGACATTCTTGCAAATGTCATGAAATTTTCTTTGTAATATTCTTGAATCTAGCCTTGAATTCATGAATCTTGAATTTGGAATGATGGGTTTCCCTTATGTCATTGAATTTGAAGAAATGAGTCAATCCTTGAAAGAGGGCAAATTTTGGGGTGCAACAGCTGCCCCTATTCAAACGACTTAGACCTGAAGGGATGAAAAGCAAACGCTTTCAAACATTCAAGGTAAAAGGTGATTGAATACAAAAGAACCCAAAAATTTGTCAACCGTAGAATGAAACCTCTGACATCGCCGTCAGGCACCTATAACAGGTAGAACATCTGACTTCGCCATCAGTCGTTGATCAAATACAAACACCTGACCTTGCCGTCAGCTCTTAATAGCATTCTAACTTCGCCGTCGGAACTCAACATCAAATTTGTGAGATCTGACCTCACCGTCAATATTCAACATAATCTGTAAAAACATCTGATTAGTAGAACATCTGATCTCGCCGTCAGTCCTCCATATCCTCTGACTTCGCCATCAACTTACAACATAATCTGACTTCGTCGTCAATTAAAATCATCTGACTTCGCCGTTATTTCTCAAACCATTTTGACGTCGCCGTCAACCCTCTACATGATCTGACTTCGCCATCAATTCTCCACATAAAATTTGGAAAAACACCTGACTTCGCTGTCAGTTCTTAACATCAAATTGGTAGGACACATGACTTCGCCGTCACCCCTCCACAATCTGACTTCGTCGTCAACTCCTCTCATAGTCTGACTTCGCCGTCAATTCTTTACATAATCCGACCTCGCCGTCAACTCTCAACATAACCTGACTTCGCCATTAACTCTCTTCATGATCTGACTTCGCCGTCGATTCCCAACATGGCCTGACTTCGCCGTCAACTCTCTTCATACTCTGACTTCGCCATCAATTGTCTTCATAATTTGACTTCGTCGTCAATTTTTTCATAATCTGACTTCGTCGTCAATTTTCTTCATAATCTGACCTCGTCGTCAATTCTTTTCATAATTTGACTTCGTCGTCAATTTTTTTTTTAATAGCATCTAACTTCGCCGCTAGCTATTAAAATCATTTGACTTCACCGTCACTTCATTTTGCTAAAAAAGCTAGCATCGAACCCAAAGGTCGGCTCAACCCTAAGTTCAGAAGAACATTCGTCGATTCACCATCTGGGTGAAGAAATCTGTTGGGGAAACATGAACTTGAATAAATAGACTCCGCTAGGGAGACCGATAAGATGAACACATTTGTCAATGACCTGGCTGGAGGTCTGGATACCACGTAGGATTGAGAAATATACTGATAACCGCTGGAGATACGCTTGAAAACAAAGGGGTGGCAACCCGGCTTATGTTTTACATGCATATG